AAGATTGAATAGTATAAATAAATATAAAATAATAAACAAAATACCACACTCTATTGTGTTTTTTTCTCCAATACAAATACTGTGCATTTGAAGAATAGATAATCAATATAAAGCTGTCAACATTTTTAGTGTTATACAACATTTTTACTATATATATATATATATATATATATATATATATATATATATATATATATATATATATATATATATAAATGTGTGTGTGTGTGTGTTTATATCTGTGTAAATATGTTTCTTTATGTAGTAATAAGGAAAAATGTGAGGGTGGCTGTGCTTTGCACCTATCAGAATATTCTTTTACTCTTAACCCTAGTAAGAGAATTAAAATACACTGAACTACTCGTTTTCAGAAAAAAAAATAAATAAAAATTTGAAAATAAATTAAATATTCAGTGAATTAAAGTTAATTAAAATCATTGAATTTGATTCTGTGCCCGTTCAACACATCACTCTGAGCAGAACTGTCGACCACCCAAAGATGGCGCCACTAAAATCACCTTGGCGCCCATAGGCGAAAGCGAGCAATGCCGGGTCTACATTTATATCATGTCTATGTTACCAACACTAAAAGTGCCCCTGTATTACAGGCTTTACAGTAAAAACACAGTAGAGAAAACTACAGTGTACTGACCTCCCTTTTTCAAACTAAGTGTGTAGGCCTGGCTTTTGAAGCTGAGAAGCTATCAGGCTAGAATGTTATTATTTAGCCTATATACTAACAATTATAGTAAATATTTACAGGCTTGATTTGCAAAACTAAAATATGCATCTCATGAAACCAGAAGAGTACCATGATCCCACATTGATTATGAGTCAATCCATCACAAAACCTGGATGATATTAAATAAAAATCATAATAAAAACACTATTGAGAAAAACTATTGAGAGATTTTAAATGCAAAAATAAAAGCAGTATTTTTTTAAGCCAATGGAGAACTATGATTCTATAGAGGACCAACTCTGGCGTATTTAAAAATAAATACATAAATAAATAAATGCTCAATAAATAAATAAGCATACAATTATTTGTCACCAAAAATACAATAAACAAATAAATGTAAGTAGAAATTAAATTATACAGTGAGACATAAATGTATATAACTCTTTTAATTAGCTTCTTTAATTATTCGCCTTTGTAATATTGACCTTATATTTTTGTCCTTTATAATCTTCAACTTTATTTTTTAATTACTTATTTCTTTAAGTATTTATTTATGTGCATGTTATATTTTTGTATTTTTTATTCTTCCTTTGTAGTTGTTTACCCTAGTTATTTCTTCGCCTCTATTTATTTCGTCCTGCCCTTTTTACATTTCTGTCTGCATTTCTGCCTCATTATGCAAATGAGGAGGGGGCGTGTCCTAGAGAGTCGCCTTCTGCTCATTGGTTGGTTAACATTTTACAGCATCGGTCGAATCTACAGGAGGAGAGGAGAGTCTGAAGTCGAGTCTGAAGTCATTAGACCGCGAGTAGGGACTCGTGTCCTCGCCAAGTATGTTCAACAAAATACAACAAAAAATCACCATCAAAATCACCGTCTGCAGCGGCCCTCTCTCTGCATAGCCGAGTGTTGAAGGACCGCTGCAGACGGGCTGTGCTTCGGACCTCCGCTGGTGCCGCGGTCCTCTCAAGTTCGGGACATTTTCTTATAAAGTACGCATTAAATCTGTGAATGGGCCATATGGTGATGCTTAAAAGTATAATGTTCTCGCCTCAAATAATCTTAAAACATACTTTTATTGAACAACAGCAACAGAAAAGAGAACATTTAACTTAGTACTCTGAGCTCTGTGAGTTAAGAAGATGGACCGCCAAGCCAAACAATGAGCAGAAGTTGACTCTCTAGGACACGCCCCCTCATCATTTGCATAATGAGGCAGAAATGTTAAAAGGGCAGAGAGAAATAAATAGCAGCGAAGAAATAACTAGGGTAAAAAAATACAAAGGAAGAATAAAACAAACTTTATAATTTCATTTCTACTTACATTTATTTGTTTATTGTATTTTTGGTGGCAATTAATTGTATGCTTATTTATTTATTTAGCATTTATTTATCGCTGTATTTATTTTTAAATATGGCAGAATTGGTCCTCAATTGGAGTCAACACTGATTTTGAGTGAATTTATCTCATGACCTGGAACAATTTTAGACTCAACCAACAGAAAACTGTCATTCCCATTTTTTTTTTTTTTTTTTTTTTTTTTTACATTGGGCCCTTGATTTTTCGTTATTCCATCATGTTCTACTCACCCATGAGTTTTGTGTCATTTGGAGCCGTTCTAAAGATATTCTGTTAGGTTATATCCAAGTAACGTCTTCCTATGGGCAACGATTTTAAGGCACAAACTAAACTGTTCATCATTTATTCTTTATGGTACGCCAGCATTCAGAACATGGAGGCCAATCACTGTCCCCCAGACATCCACGGTTATATTTTTTATATTTATATCTTTTAAAAACAAAGTGGGGTGTGTATGACGTCATCCGTGCGTTGGACTGGACTTTTGCTTTTTTACTTTATTTAACCAATGTACATTACACCAGGCGGCTACGCTCTAGCCCTTCTATTCATTCTAGCTAATCTGAATTAGAGATGTCCCGATCCAGGTTTTTGCACTTCCGATCCGATACCGATATTGTTTTTGGACTTCCGATCCGATACCGATACTGCCCGATACCAGCCTATCCGAGCATGTATTTCAGTTTAAGTTAAAGTATTTAGCCTTAGTTGTAAGACTCATGTTGAAAAGGGTTTTAGTACTCTTGATGACATCTAGCCAGCTAAATTAGGTGAGATTGAATAAAACACAATGATTGGTAACAACAAACTTACCTGTTTATTAAGAGATAAACACAAACTGGACAAAATAACGAATAGCAATCTGAAATTGCACAGTGAGCAGTAAAACCGTAAACAGTTAAAGGTGCAAGTATTACTGTAAGTTTTAATAAAAATGCAAAACAGGGAAACACTGGCGCAAAATAGTGGAATGGATCGTTTCAATCGGCGAAACTGGAAAATACGGACCGGATTTTTTAAAAAAAAACTGGATCGGCAGTCTGGATCGGCATTTTACATGCTTTGCCGATACTCATTTTTTTGCCAATATCGGCGTCCTGATCCGATCCACGTATCGGATCGGGACAAGCCTAATCTGAATCGTTCAATTCCATTTGGAGAGCGAGATCATCTGTGGTAGCAGCTCTAGACATCTTCCAGGCATGTGAGGAAAACTAGCAGCAGTTCAGCCGACAGGATGAATGAACGGTAGCAGGCGCACGCAGATGACGTCATACACGCGCTGCTTAGTTTTAAAAACATAAAAAATATATAAAATCTAACGCCGGATGTCTGGGGGACAGTGATTGGCCTCCATGTTCTGAATGCTGGCGTACCATAAAGAATAAATGATGAACAGTTTAGTTTGTGCCTTCAAGTCGTTCTGTCTCGTACAACTCGCGGTAGAATTCTGCTTCCAGAGGACCTCGCCCGCGTGCGGCTACCGTACTTTTGTGTTGAAGCAAATGTGACGTCAACATGGTGGATATTAAAATCCATAGATTTAGGTATTACCCTAGTGGCCGTTAGCTGTAAAACTCCATAGATAAGCTGCATTGTTATATAAGCTGCAAGTTCGAAAAATGGGGGAAAAAGTCGCGGCTTATAGTCCGAAAATTACAGTATACAAATAGTAAAGATTACTCCTTTAAGTTCACACTATAACAAAACGTCATTCCTAATCCTACAAACATGATCATTTGAAATACAAATAAGACTAAATGCTACCCAGAGTTTCCACCTTTCTCTTTTCCTGGTAATATATTAGACTCTCGCTACACAGTCGGACATGAATGGCTGTTGACCCCTGTCTCCTGTTTGCTTGTTAATGTTGCATTTCTTGAAAATTGGTCAAAATGGTTAAATATGAATAAATCTACTATTGCCTAAATATCATTTTTTTTGCCTCATAGTTTTATCTTTTCTCATAGGATTTTACTATAATCAAAGACAAATGGGTATTCCTGAATAATAATGATGAATGATTGAATTAATAGAAATATGTGTTTACATAAACAGTTAGGCTTAAACAATTTAAGTTACTATTATGTGTAAATAAATACAGAGGAAATCCTGTTCATCATGTAAAAAACTCAGTAGTGGTCGCCCCACATGATCCTCCGTCATCCCAGATAAAACATTTTAAGTTCAGTTAAGTTAAGTACATAGATCTACATTTAAAAGTTAGTTTTCAAAGTTTGGAGGAGGTCGCCTCACATGATAGCTAAAGGTGTCCAATAGTTGACAACAATCAAACAGCATTTATCAAAATTAACTGGCTGATGCAGTATCCTGTCCCTGTCAGGATTTAAATGAAAAGTCTGAAAGTTGTGCTTTCTTGATGGTCGCCCTGATTATATTTCATCGATTGATCATCTACAGACATTTGTATGTTATGATGGAAACAGACGTACAGATTTTTATTTTGGCAATGAATGTAAAACAAGATGGAATTTATGCCAAGAAGGTAGATGTTAAAATTGATTTAATGATTTAAAATTGGTTGTCTAAATGGAAATCAATGCTAAATGGCCATCCCAAATGATGTTTTAACACTTCAGATGGCAGTAAGACCTCAATAATTAAATCGTTTGGAAAACTAATATTGGGTTTGTGTGCTGGGAAAATGAAAGATAAACACGTTCTGTTCAGACATAATCTAAAGCTTTACAGATGACAGTGGAGTTCCAAATCTGTGATTGTAACGTCAGAGCTGCAATGCATGCTGGGATATGTAGTTCCAGTCTGTTTCTATGTAGCTGGATTAACACAAGGATCAATAAAGTGAAGTGTCCTTTATTTAACCACCAATAGAAAGTCTTTCTGCTGTGTTTGTCTTTCCAGACCACCTGCAGGATTCTGTTGGAAAAGAGGAGGATTTCTCTGACCAGCAGCTCTGTGGACTGGAGAGGAATTCCAGTTTGGACCAAGAGGAACCAGAACCTCTGCAGATAAAAGAAGAGCAGAAAGAACCAGAACATCCCTGGACAAAAGAGGAAACCATGGAGTTCCCCATTAGTGAGCAGGAAGAGCAGCTTGTTCTGAAGCAGGAGACTGAAGATACAGGAGAGGAACATTTCCTGTGTTTGACATGTGGAGAAAACTTTCAAAATAAAGAACATTTTATTGATCACAAGAGCACTCACTCAGGCGAGAAGATCAGTGAATGTCTGTCCTGTGGAGAAAGCTTTTCTCAGAAGTTAAATCTTGTTACAAACATCAGACTACATACAGGTGAGAAACCATTTTCTGTACTATTTGTTACAAAAGGTGTACCGTAGAAAGTGATTTAACTAAATACAAAATGGATCATAATGGTGAGAAGCCTTTCAAATGTCTGTCCTGTGGAAAAGCTTTACTCGGAAATCTAATCTTTATACGCACATGAGAATTCACACAAGTGAGAAACCTTTCTCATCTGTAATTTGTGGCAAAAAATGTACCATAAAAAGTCATTTGACTTTTCACATGACAACTCATTCAGAAGAAAGACATTTTCTTGTCTGTTCTGTGGAAGAAGCTTCTCTCAGAAATCTCAACTTGATCGACACATCAGAATTCACACGGGGGAGAAGCCATTCTCCTGTACAATTTGTTGCAAAAGTTTTACTAGAGAAGATAATGTGACTCAACACATGGCGACTCATGTGAGAAACACATGAAACAAATTATCCTAAAAAGAAAGATGTGTTGCTTCACATAAGAGGGCACTGTGCAAACTGTGGCGTTCCTTTCTCTGCCTTGCAGCTATATTTGCTGTGATCAGTGGGAATAAAGTAGTTTTAATATGTTTTTAAGTGAGAAAATCCTCCTGAAAACTGGATAATAAAAGCGAACATATTCTGTCGGCAGGTTAAGTTAACGTCAATAAACTGTTTCAGAGGAGCGATCACAGCGCTGTGTATATGTGTTTCATCAGCGATGTGTCTGTCTCGCTGTCAGCTCCCAGATCAGCTTCTCTGATTGGTTGATGCGGCGCGTCCAACAGCAAAACTTCAATTTTTCCATCTCGAGCAGCAGCAGCGCGTTGGCGACGCATCAGATGCTTAAACGCTCCCGACGCGCTGCGCCTGCTGCTCAAAACGCGCTGCGGGACCTTTTGCTGCGCCTATACGCGCGTCAACCATTGGCTTTGCATGTAAACTCGCTGCTTCTGCTGCACCTGCTGCGTCCGGTTCACACCGATGTTGTGCGGCTGAATAACAGCAAGCACAGCATTTATATGTTTCACCCTGTTTTTCACATCAGCTGTGAGATGGGCATGCATGGAGTCACAGATTAACAGCGATGGTGAAAAAAACCACCTGGTCTCCTTACATTCAGCCACTCTTTCATCATCTCCTCAATGAGGTGATCTCAAAAGTCCGCAGTAACAACACACATAGGGCGCACCGCACCATAGGGCGCACTGCACATTTTGAGGGAAAAAAAGACGATTATATGCGCCTTATATTTGTGAAAATACGGTAAAAGAAAATCTGAATGCACGATAGACCAATAAAGTCTATGTTTTAACCATCACTCGTTATGGAGTGTTCTTTTGGTAATCAGAGGTTTATAAGGAGCTATCGAGTCATCTCTATGTCATGTATTGGTTTCTCCCCAGCCCAAGGGCGTAGGTTTGATTTGAACTTTGGTAGGGACACTATTGGTCTGGTGTCATTGGTTCTATGCAATATGTCCTTTTTTATGCTTGATGTGAGCATCCGCACTGATAAGAGGAATTCATTGTTTAAAGAGAAAAGCAGCATTTTGCTACGTTAATAAAAATGTTATAAGCACTACACTCATTAGATGCTGTTTATCAATGTTTGAAGTATCACCGGCTCTGATGAATGTGGAATTAGGACTGTTTTCCACTTTGAAAATCGTTTCATTTGAACGACTAAGAAAGAAGGTAAATACAGTATTTTCTTTTGTAGATATAGAATTGTATAGCTGTAGTTACTCTGTGTAGCACATATCATGTATTTTATCTGGGTCTGAAAAAATAAATTGTGTTAACTGATTATTTCAATAATCTAATTTAGCTATTGATTCATCATTAACTGGAGTATAGAGACTCTAAAACATAATATAAAATGCCTTTCCCCGACAGCAAACCAATTAGATCAGTAATTATACCAAAGGTCCGTGTCAGTTGCTCGGGAACCAGGGCAACTTGATGACAAATTGGCTACTGGAACAAGACATAGATGGACTAGAGCAGAAAACTTGGTACTGATGAAATGCTACTATACAAGCGTCCCCAGTGAGAGAGGTTACATGCACACACTATGGGACTTATGGCAGCTCCAACAACCATCATCGACACTGACAAAAAAACAACTACTAACTCAGTGTTCTAACATCCGCAAACGGCAGCTCCTATCACAACTAGAAATTGATGAGGTACAACTGACATGCTGCAGCAAGGAGGAGTCAGGACAACAGGTCAGTAGGGAGATACCGTCATCCCAACACACAGAGATTGGGTCCCCAGCCCCAACAACAACAAGTAAGGGCGGCTGACCTACGACGGCAGATCATGACCAAACTGGACCAAACTGGATCCCCTAGTACGAAGACCAAGACTGCCAGGGCTAAGTGACAGAGTACCCTCTGAAAGTCTTCTAGAATATGTAAATGCAGCACTACATACTATCCCTACTGAGACCAACGAGCTGACCTACGCCACAGCTACAGTGATCCTAGAGATGCTTGGCTATAAGATAAACAGCACAGGCCCCCCCCATGGAGGAGAAGGCTGGAAGCCAAGATCAAGGCAACACGCAGAGAGGTTAGTCAGCTCTCAGACCTGCAGAAAGGGAAGAGGTTACCTAAGTACAACAAGCTGTCTATTCCTGAGGCTCTAGAAACTGCCAAGACACGCCGCCCTGGCCACCCGCCTAAAGAGATACAAGGGAGAAGCAGAAGCCAGGAGAATAAACCAGGTGTTCTCCACCAACCCATCCAAAGTGTACTCACAGTGGCAGGGTAATTCAAGATCAGATCCACCAGGGCTGAGACTGAACAGTACTGGAGAAACATATGGGAGACGGAGGCATCCCACAACACCAATGCTCAGTGGCTAGAAGATCTTAGAACAGATCACAGCAATCTCCCAGAACAAGAACCAGTAACCGTTACAACGGCAGATGTCCAAGAAAGAGCGGCAGGTATGAAGAGCTGGACAGCACCAGGCCCTGACATGATCCACACCTACTGGCTGAAAAAACTAACCGCACTTCATGCACGCCCCGCAGCACAAATGAACCAACGGCTGATGGATGGGACCCACCCAGAATGGTTAACCCAAGGACGAACAATCCTGATCATGAAGGATCCCCAGAAGGGAACAACCCCATCCAACTACCGGCCAATAACTTGCCTATGTACAACATGGAAGCTCCTGTCAGGCATCATAGCGGCTAAGATGAATAGGCACATGGCTCAATACATGCACCCGTCCCAGACCCAGAAGGGAATAGGCAGTAACACCAGAGGAGCCAAACACCAGCTACTAGTGGATAGAGCAGTCACTCGAGAATGTAAGACCAGGCAGACAAATCTATGCACTGCCTGGATTGACTGTAAGAAAGCCTATGACCCAATGCCACATACATGGATCCTGGAATGCTTGGAAATGTACAAGATCAACAGGACTCTAATAGCCTTCATCAAGAACTCAATGAAGCTGTGGAAAACAAGTCTGGAAGCCAATGCAAAGCCAATAGCACAAGTCACCATCAAGCGCGGCATATACCCGGGTGATGCACTATCCCCGCTGCTGTTCTGCATAGGCCTGAACCCCCTCAGCCAGATCATCACAAAGACTGGCTACGGATACCAATTCCGAAGCGGAACAATCATCAGTCACCTCCTCTACATGGATGACATCAAGCTGTATGCCAGGAGTGAGCAAGACTTCGACTCACTGATCCACACTACCGGGATCTACAGCAACGACATTGGGATGTCATTCAGACTGGACAAGTGCGGTCGCATGGTCTCAAAGAGAGGGAAGATGATCAGAACCGAGGGGGTTGAACTACCAGAAGGCCACATTACAGATGTGCAGGACAGCTACAAATACCTTGGGGTGCCACAGGCTAACGGAAACCACGAGGAGATGGCAAGAAAGACTGCCACAGCTAAATACCTACAAAGAGTAAGGCAGGTCCTGAAAAGTCAGCTGAATGGGAAAAACAAGATCCAAGCCATCAACACATATGTCCTACCAGTCATCAGATACCCCGCTGGTATAATAAACTGGCCAAAGGAGGAGATAGAGGCCACTGACGTCAAGACAAGAAAGCTCCTCACAATGCATGGAGGGTTCCACCCCAAATCCAGCACCCTGAGACTGTATACCAAGCGTAGCGAGGGAGGCCGAGGGCTAGTGAGTGTCAAGACCACTGTCCAGGATGAAACAACTAAGACCCAGGAGTACATCAGAAAGATGGCCCCCAAAGACAAATAACTTGGTGAATACCTCAGGCAGGAGAAAACCGAAAGTGAGGACAAGAAAGAGGAAGGAGAACCATCATGGAGGGACAAGCCGCTGCACGGCGTATATTACAGACAAATAGAAGAAGTGGCTGATATCAAATCCTACCAGTGGCTGGAAAAGGCTGGACTGAAGGACAGCACAGAGGCACTAATCATGGCAGCACAAGAACAGGCACTCAGTACAAGATCAATAGAGGCCAGGGTCTACCACACCAGGCAGGACCCCCGATGCAGACTGTGCAAAGATGCCTCTGAAACAATACAGCACATAACAGCGGGGTGTAAAATGCAGGCAGGAAGTGCATACATGGAACGCCACAACCAGGTAGCTGTCATAGTGTACAGGAACAGCTGCCATGAGTATGGGCTGGAAGTCCCAAGGTCAAAATGGAAGACACCTCCTAAGGTAGTTGAGAATGACCGAGCTAAGATCCTATGGGACTTCAAGATCCAGACTGACAAACAGGTGATGGCTAACCAACCAGACATCGTGTTGATCGACAAACAGCAGAAGAAGGCAGTAGTGATAGATGTGGCAATCCCAAGCGACAGCAACATCAAGAAGAAAGAACACGAGAAGCTTGAGAAATACCAAGGACTGAAGGAGGAGCTAGAAAAGATGTGGAAAGTAAGAGCAGCAGTGGTGCCAGTGGTAATTGGAGCACTAGGGGCTGTGACCCCCAAACTGGGAGAGTGGCTACAGCAGATTCCAGGTAAAACATCAGAGGTCTCTGTCCAGAAGA